AAACACCATCCGTTTAAATTCATATATATTTATATATTTATATATTTATATATTTATATATTTATATATTTATATATTTATATATTTATATATTTATATATTTATATATTTATATATTTATATATTTATATATATATATATATTTATATATTTATATATTTATATATTTATATATTTATATATTTATATATATATATATATATATATATATGTCCGTTAGCACGATAACTCGAGCAAAAATGATCCGATTTTGATGAAATTTGGTACAAATGTGTAAACCTACGTTTATTCGAACGAGTTCGCGATCCAGCATGATCGGACCATGGGAACGGGGGTTTACGGGGGGTTTTATGGGGTAAAAATAGGTTTTTCCCATTTTTGACCCAAAAAACATAACATTTAGCAATTTCTTTCCAAAATCATTTTGTAGAGCTTAAAAAAACAAATAATTTAGTATATTCAAGCGTTATTATACGCCTAATGGTTACGGAGAAAATTCCAAAAAATTGTAAATTTTAAATTCCAATGTTATTCTTATGGAGAATAAGTATACTGTTGTAGTTTGCTTGTTTATGAACATATTTTGATCAAATTTGGAAAATACATTAATTTCTTACTAACTATTAACAGTTTACAAAAAAAAAGAGTTTTACCCTCCCTGATGCAGCAAACCTAAGTACTTGTTAAACTAATTCTATTTAAATAGGGAATAAATGTTATATTTTTAAGTAGACATTTCAGTGTAAATCTAATCAGTCAAATGGAAATTCGCTTAGTCTGCAGGTTTGCTGCGGCGGGGGTATTTTTCTTTTACTACAGTGCCTTATGTGCGTTTTTCAACGAAATAAATGTTTAAGTCAGCTTATCATTTGAAAATTTAATCGTATGAGTATATTTTACATACATGTATGAGCGCCTCATATCATTCGTACTATGTAGCCTTTTAAGTTAGCATAGCCTTAAAGAAAAAGATTTTTTTAACTAAGTGTTTCAATTGAGATGTTCCTGAAACCGAAGGGGAATGTTTTACTATTTTATACATCAGGCTAAAAGATCGAATTTTTCGCTTCAGTGTTCTCTCCGTTGCGAAGCACGGGTACAGCAGCTAGTTTGGTATAAAAATAAATAAATTAAACAAGCTAATAATACTGTTTACTAGAACACCACACTTTTTACCCTCCCTGTAGCAGCAAACCTTGGTATTAAACCTAATGTTATTTAAAAAAGATTTAAGTGAAAATCAAATCGTGCAAATGCAAACTCGCTAAGTCTTGTACAAACAATCACAGCGCAATAGTGGCAAATATAGTACATGAAGTGTATAATTATTTTGTACGATTTTTTAATATTATGAATCTAACTTTCTAACAATCAATATGGAAATTGGCAGGCAAATTGACAAGACAGAAATGACGCTTTTTGCATGGCCAGACTCAGTTCTGTTTTAAGATAAATATTTTGTAGTAATATGGAAATTGGCTGTGAAAGATAATTGAGAATGAGTTCAAACATTGATTGATCGATTGATTAAGAATATCCTAAAATTTCTATCAAATAATCAATTTAAAAATATTTGTAGCTTTTTTAGATTTCGCCATCTTTCTCACAAATACACCCGGAACATAACTTTTTAACTGTTAACAATAGTATAAAGTCTGCCAAGTTTAAGATTGAACTATTCCAGAACCTCCCAGAGCTCCCCAAAACATTATGTTCAGACGTTTTACGTTTAATATCTTTTAATTCTTCTAAAAGTTACATTGTCATAAACTAGTTATTTTACCTACCCCAAAATTTCAAAGGTGGGGAAATCCCCTTATTTTTTATAGGCAACGAACAATAATAGTTAGAATTTTAAAATGCGCCTATTTCCTAATATGGTGAAACTAAAAAATATCTAATGGAACGCGCTGTATTTTATGGTTGTTCAAGTTCTACACAGTGTTTGAAAACAGTTTTTAGTGAATTTCCCTATAGGGAAGTAGCTATTGCCGTAGGTGACACGGTAATACCTAGACCCAAGGCCGATTTTTTATTTTTATTTTGATGTCCCCAGATGCCAAAAACACTATCCGTTAACGCGATAACTTGAGTATTTGTCCGATTTTGATGACATTTTGCTTAATGGTGTGTAGTGTTGGATAAACTTGAATGAGTTCGCGAGCCAGCAAGATCGGGTCATGCCAACGGGGCATTACAGGGCTGTACAATGTATTTAAATTGTATTTTTTTCTAATTTTTTACCTTAAAACAAGAAAGATTCTGATGTTCGTTACAGCCATCTTGTAGAGCTAAAAAAACAAATAATTTTGTAAAGCGTTGTTGTAAAATGAAATTTTACCGAGAAAAATTCCAAAAAAAATTATATTTTTTATTCCCATCTTATATTTAGGAAGAAGAAGAAAACTGTTATAGTTTGCTTGTTTATGGATGTATGTTGATTAAACTTAGCAAAACAAACATTTGGTGAAAAATCACCTTTTGCCTTTCTCTTAGCAGCAAACCTAGACGCTTATTTAATCTAATGTTATTTAAATGGGGAATGAATATGTCTTTTTTATGGGAATATTTTAATAAAAATTGGATGAATTGAAATTTGCTTAGTCTGCAGGTTTGCTGCGGGGGGGTATTATTACATTATAATAATTGCACATACAAACAATCAATCTTCAAGTTCTCCTGGCTCAGTTTTAACGATTTCAAAAATCAGATTTATTCCCAAAGATTCAACGTATATCATGGGGGTAACTTGTTGAAATATGTTGAAACAATAGCCCAATGATATACTTTACGTGTAAAAGACGTTTTTCGTTAATATCATCATATCATCCTCACACATGCTAATCAACCATAAATTTCTCTCAGTTTACCTTCTGAAATAATTGTCAAATCACACCATCATTTGACTCATTCTTAATAATTAATTCAGTGTACTGCAAAGCGATTCCCAACTGAATAGACTAAAGTAAAACGTGTTTCTCCTTTACAGCACTTTTCATAATTATCACCATCGCACACAATCAATCGACCTTGGATTTCTCTTGGTCCAGTTTCTGTAATCATTTTCCTATCACACCACCTCCAGGGACACCGTTACTCGATGCCCATCCGCTTACGGTATCTTCGGGTACTCGGTATGACCGAATTACGGCTACATTTCTATCCCCTCAGGCCGATTTCTCCCATTGTCGGTTCTGGAGGTTTCACCTTAATGGAGTAACCTACTGACTCTTGGACGACCTAGGTCCACGTGCCACCGGGCTAGGGGCTATGCCCCCCGGGACACTTCTCGAGCTTGGATGTGTCTCAAAGAATAGTATCTCTTATGATCAGATGAATCTTAATTTTTCTTCCTTCGTTCACGAATTAAATGCTTATGCCCCTGAGAGAATGAATTTAGTAGTTATTACAAATAATTTCAATATTTTAATCTGTTTTTAATGCTTCTGTCATTTTTTCCTGTACTCTTTTTACTCAAGATACTAAAACCAAAAATCTAGTATTAGTAGAACCAAATGTAGAGTATACAGTTTTTGATGCAGATTAATAGCATTTTAACTAATGTTCAACCCAATCTCAAATACACTTTGTTTTTCTGTGACTTGCAATCATTGTACTGTAGTTAGTTTTGACTATATATTACCCCTCGCGGATTTTATGACTTATTTATCCCGTAAAGCTGTGATCATAAGTTACTCATACTAAAAATACTTAGGACTTCAAATTAGTACGGTGGATAGTTAAGAATTCAAGATAAAGGTATAATGAAAAGTGTTTACTTTCGTGACTTTAGTGACTAAAAAAATCCCTTTGATAATAACTCTAAATAATTCAGAAGCACTACTAACTGGATAATAAATAGATTATTTTGGAAACTTTGACGGTCGTAACTACCGTAGACGCTGTGAATCTCTCAAGACAAACTATACACGCCGTTTCACAGGGTGTATCGCATGGTATGCACAACAAGTAAATTATTCCAAAGAGAAATACTGCAGGGTTTTGACAAACCTCAAAATTGGTTTGATGGTAGCAGAGGATGAACTTGGACATAAAGACGCAAAAATTCAAACTTAATCAATACGACATTTCAGTTCACAAATAAAACTATTATGATTGCAAAATATTGTACGATTTCCAAACGATGTTACTTTTCAAGTACGAAATGTAAACTTTCTACTTCTTCGTTGTCTTTAGCTTGTCGGAGTTTTCCCAATGTGCTCACCTCTTCATTTGTCATTCTACTAGTTGTCTCGTCTCCCAAGCTTCCTTTTCTGGCAAATTATGCGACACACATTTTAAAATACAACGAATTGACAACCATTAATTTCCCGTTATTTTGCTTTTATAATAGTGTTCATGCATGCATAAAACACCCAAAAACTAACTTCTCCAGTTTGTTTTTTGACGGATTTTAAATACTACCTTCGTGTTTTGATATATAATTTAGGTTTAAAGGCGTAGTTGGAAATGCATTGGTTTTAAACGATTTTTTGTATAGGATATGAACAAAATACAACTTAAAAGGAACATAAATTGGTAATAAATACAATTGGAGCCTCAGCTAGTCTAACGGTTAAAACGGTTGAAATTCCTAGTCGAGGACATAAATTTGGCATTCTAAACTCATTGTCCAAATCCTGGCTATTACAAAGTAGATTTTCTGTAAGGTAATACCAAGACCCGACAAGTTAGCGTGATCAGCTCACGCAGTAAGTCCACCTGCCAAATCAGAAAAAGATAAATCTAGCATCTCTCTCTTTGGCATGGAGAACTGTTTACACATTTGAGATCTTCCTCCATACAGTTTCATAACACCATTTAATACCTTTACCTTATACGGACAGAAATCTCTAATTCTTATGATAAGGGAAACTCAGTGCCTAAACACAATTGTTAACTAGATTAATCGCGTGTGGTATCAATAGACTACTTCAAAGAAAGATGCCTCATTTGAAACATAATTGAATATGGATTTATGTGCTATTGTGTTCACCTACCATATCCCTTCATGATCCCATGGGTGAGGTACAAGTCGGCTCTACCACTGAGCTCTTCTTTTGCCAATGTTTCACGGATGATCTTCGGATCTGTTATGACGACTGCCAAGAGACGACCGAGACGGATGCTGTAGACAGGACCGTACTGCTGCCCTAGGACAGTGAGACTCAAGTAGGGTTCCTTGGGGGATATCTTCAGGAGAGACCCCAGGATGGGAAGACCCCAGGGTCCTGGTGGAAGACTCTGCATGTCCTGGAAGTACTTGTAGAAGACGTAGGTTAAGAGGATAGCCACGAATGCGAGAAGAATGTTAAACATTTTATCTGAAAAAGAAATTTCTGTTAGAAATCATGTAACACAACTGCAGATCGTTGAGGTACCTACCCCAGTGAAGGGTATTATTTTGTAGGATCATTCAATACTTTAAGATTATTTTATTCTAGTCCTTAACAACGATAGAAAAATATTATTAAACATTTTCTTGATCTTAGTAACAGCTTTTCATGGATTAACATCAGTCCATAGTTTGGATTTCAATTGAGAGAAAGATATGGAACGTATTTACAAGATTGAAATCTCAACCCTTGTCTCTTCATTTCATAAGAAGGTAGAATGAAAGTTCCTTGTAAATCTCTACTACCAACATGGATTAATTCTTTTGCTTGTCGAGCAGACCTATTATATCGGACAACATATTAATTTAAGTAAATACATCATACGCAAAAAACTATTGTTTTTCGTTGTATTACTTTGTCTATCTTGGCTGTATTTTAAACATGTTTTTTGTAGTTACCAAAAACAACAACAAATGTGTCAAAAGTTTATATATAGCCATATGCATATTTGTGAACAAATTAATAGGCAATATCAACCACAATACAGTAATCGAAACCGAAAATCGGGATAAACATAGTGTCGAAATCAAACATACTTGATCTCCCTACTGTTACATATTTTGTCATAAATAAGTGATGGTTGAACTGATTGAACATTATTTGATATGAACTAATGCGAAACAATTCATTTAACAAATATGCCTTTGTTAAAGTTATTGTCCTTAGATTTGTGTGATGATTGTGTGAATATGTAGTTTTTGTTAACGGCCCAATTTTGCCAAAACGCCCATTTAAAAATTGCCAAAAAGTTTTTGTTTACAATTTTACAAGGAACAATAATTCACAGCAACAATAAGAGGTGATTTGCGTATAGTATACTCATAATGTATTGATTCCTTATGGAATAAGTTATATGGCTGAGGTGATATTATTCTTTCAGGCCTTGATATTGAGATCCCCATCATGATTTCGGAATTCTTGTTTCACTCAAATTTAAGGATTTGCAACAATCCAATTCATTTCTGAGGAGGAAATAAAAGGATTTACCAGTCAAAAGCTGCAAGCTCTTCAAACCCTCTCAGTAAATCTCATCCCTGTTACAAACCGAAACATCCTTGTGCACTCAACGCAGACAGCCTATTGAGGCTATGAACGTTCTTGAACTTATTACCTAAACTCACTCTTGGCCAACCGATCCAAGCCGAAGCCGAACTGAGGGCGTAGACCCCAGACTGATCCTTGGTTACGCAAACTGAATCAATGCGTTTCATAATGTCAATCCGGCCTAATCGGCTCTCATAACCGGGCCAGCGGCAGCGGCAAGTGACAATGCGACGGACAAAGCTATACAGCTGCTGCTTACTGCTTACGACACGTGACAGGGAAAGTGGGGTCATCAACCTCCAGCCTTTCTCTCCGGCCATCTCCCGAGGAACCGGAGGAACCGGGGAAACGATGCGAGGGCTACTTTCCCTAAGGTTTCGGGGATGAGAGAAATGGCCGTGATACTAGTTTCCTTTTGGTGGAAGAATGCTGAAGGTTGCAAGAGGTTCATACAGTACGAAGATTATTAAGAAAACGAACGATTAGGAGAATATTAGGAACATAAGGTTTTGATAGGTATGTAGGCTATTTGCGCTTATGCGAGATTCAAGGATTCGTAGATTCGAGGAAAACAGGTGTTCTGGAGTACAAAATTAATACCTCTAACTCTAACACAATTCCACACAATTGTTAAATAAGCAAGAATTCATACGGTTGGTACCGGATTCTTCAGGGCATAACCAGGGAAATAAAGATTACAGAAAGTTTTTCAGATTTTAAGATTTTTTCGGAGTACAGTACCATACGGTTGGAAACATGAGTTTTTTCATAACAATCAGATTCAAAGATTCGTGATGGAATCCTGACGATCGCGTGGGACTATGTTTGATTGTAAATGGAGATCTAGGAGCATTTTAAACTAGAATTACGAACTTCTTTGAACATTTATGATAAAATTGTGAAAATTTATTAAGTGTCCAGTGTGTTGCGTTGCACTGGAGGGTTACAAGAGAAAATTTTACAACCAAACTTTGACAAAGCAATATTAGTTCATCATTTTTTTACACCTGGCATAAAGTTACTCGCTAGGTTTATGTTACCTTAAAAATGTGACTTTGATGTCAGAATAGTTTTACGTTTTATTATTTCAGTAAAGCTAACCTTAAATAGAATACTTTTATACTAGTGTACATGTTGCTCGAATTCGAGCAATTGCAAAGTATTACAGGAGTTATTTCAAAACGAATAACAGTCATATTTACAATGAATTTAAAAGAGTCAATTCAAAGATTACCGGTGTGTAACTCAGACCATGTTTATCTTCGTTGATAAATTGATAAACCTAAAGCATTCCGGCCGGTTTTCTCCTTCTCAAAATGCCTCGCTGTACATGCAACACAGGTCATTGATAGAGGGCCAATTGAGAACGAAAAGTTGTTTTGGGGTAGTGTTAGGGCACATTTTTTACCTAATAGTTGAGCCTATTATGTGTCACTGTTCTGTAGCTGCGGTCGTTATCACGATTACGCCTCCTATCTATGTTTCGTTGTCGTCACGTCGGAGGCATTTAAAAGAAAAAACGACAAATAAACAAATTATAGCTACACAAAACAACGATAAACGCACAAATTTAAGTTGCAATCATGCTAACACGATCCGTCATAGCGACACAAAACAACGAAAATACACAAATTTAAGATATAACCATACCAACACGATCCGTCTTAGGGGTTATGTTTACACAAACTCAAATAGTAAATAAATGTACTCAATGCGTTTCGTTACATTGAATTGAAAAATAAATAACAGCAATAAAATTATACAGCTGATCAAAATGTAAACAATTATGTTCTCCATAAGGATAACATGGGCACTTTCAAAGCCACTGGGGCAGGGCCCAAGGGACGTTTTCAAAAATGTAAGGCCAGTTTGCAAATCTACGCGACACGCTCTTTCCAATGAGACGTCAATGGATAAAATCGGTTAAGAAATGGCGGAGGAGTTCAACCGACAAAGTTTCATGTAGCGTATTAATTATATAGATTATTAAATTGTATTATATGTACCATACAACCTACCCAGACATGTTTGCAAGATAAGAACCAATCGCAGATCAGGATTCCGTAAAATCATATGAGAACCGGACTGAGTCATCCAAAAAACTGTCAACCCCTCGGCCGAAGAATGCACCAGTTGAAAGTCCGCCTTGTGCAAATAGTTTATTCGGGTGGTTGGATATTCAAGTAGATATCTCATTCATCTCAGATTGTACAGTACTATCACGGAGACCTCGTATAAAGGTGGTTGTTAGTGGTTAGCTATATTTTGAAATCATAACCCAGAAAACCTTTTTTTGCTCAGTGATTTTCCACGTTACGCTTTCTTAAAGCAATGAGGTCGATTGTATACTTCAAAGAATTCTTACTTTGGCAAGACGTCGATAAATAATACAAGATGATTATCGCAATTATAACCATAATCAGCTGTGTGCTAATGGTAGATCACATGATAATGACTATAATCAACAGAACAGCTGATCCGGTTCTGCCTCCAGCTGTTAAGGTTGTCAATCAATAAACCAAACCTGTATAATTAGTTTAATAAATTAGTATGACGTCGTAAAATTAATTAGGCAATTTACAGGTAGTTTAAGGTAACTTACGAACTGTCTGGACTTGGTAAAAAATGTATTCAAGACACTCAAATTTATGATGATACACATTGATTAGTTACGAAATAATTACTAATTCCTTTAACTAGAATGGTTGAATCATATATAAACTATAAACATTTAGTCTAATTAATAATAATCATACTATTCTTTCCTGGATAAAAATAACAATATAGAATATCTTACTAATATTATAAATGTGAAAGTTTGTGTGTTTAAAGTTCAATCACGCATTGGATGGATTGGGCTCAAATTTGGCATGATGACAGCTCACATTTCCGATTAACATATAGGCATATTTTTATCTCAAAAATCCTTTCGGGCTCCGCCCCAGTGACTCTAGAGTTTCCCATGTTAACCTTATGAGTACTCATATTTAAATGGAATTAAAGAATTTAGTCAGCCGTTTTCAAACTAAAAAGGTTGGTTCTATTATATGCAAAGGCATTAAAAGTTATAAGATTTACCAACAGGATGCAGCACTATTATTTTTTTTTTCATTTATGAAAACAGCTCATTTGAACTAAGCAGCAACAAAAAACTGTGATACACAATGAGAACTGTCTGTTTACAGTTATGTTTATGTTTTTAATTTCACGAATAATTTGTGATATTTTGTGAATCTTTGATAATTTATTTTTTTCTATTGTTAGATTATAATATGTAGAACATAATATGGCTATGGTAGATGTGTAATACTATAGTATACTGTAAATTTAAAGAAGCAAATTTTATCATACTTTGTCCTCCCTCATTGCAAACGCCAAGCTTGAGTATAACTGTACTAAGCATTTTATACTTTTATGCCACTCCCCTACGAAGGACGGGTACTCTGCTAGTACATTATAAATCAAAGCAGTATTTTGGACTTCTTTTTTTTACCTAACCGACCGCCATACAAATGGATGTATGTTCAATGTTATAATCTGAAACAAGAACACAATATGTTATTAATTAATTTTACTTTTGTAGCAGTGTTGAAAAACTTTGGTTTTGATTATGGTACATGCTTTTCAGCTGGTGTAAGCCGTTAACACAGCTATGTTAGGCATTTTAACAATCTTATACTCAAGCATGTGTTATCTGCGTCACAATTTCTATCCAAGAAGACAGTAATAATATAACAATCTTAAAATGTTAAAACTCTCATATCACATATTTGACAAAATCTCGATAAATATGTACTGATACAAAAAATATGCTCTCCCAAACAAGCAAAATTGTAATGAACCAATAACCAGTCAACAGTAATAAGTGACATCCGGCCCGAAGG